GTCTACTTTCGTAAGAACATCATTGTCGAAGTAATTTTTCCCCTTGTCGCAAGCAGCAGTACACAGAGTTTCAAATTATATTCACTAACAGTATTTCAGAATCTTAACAAAATTAACCAAATCGCTAAGTTCATTAGACCACAAAGTGATTACTTTACTGTGACAGAGGGAGAAACTACCATGCCTTTGTAAGCAAGAATTTAATTGATAACGAGTGTAAACGTATTTTTTCCTTCTATCTGTGCCCGTGCCCGACTATACGCAAGCCAAACAATAATTCCTGCGAGTTTAATCTGTTAACATCATCGGAAGAGTCAAATCTTGTATTTTGCCAACTTGAAACTAGCTCCGAAACTGACTACTATCTTATACCGACGTTACAAAATAATGTTTTGCTATACTCAGTGACTCTCAATACTTCCTTTGATATTAATTGTAACGGCGTAGTACAACCCTTTTCTTTGAATGGTACGAGATTAATACAGATTCTCTAGCTGTGCGAACTTAGAACAAACCACCATATTTATTTAGGGGCTAAGAAAAAATTAAAGGCGGAAAATTTTGTAATTCCGAAAATCTCTCTGATAACTACAAACAAAATAGTAATGAAAAGCTCAAACACAAATAATAATCAGACAGATACGAGCACTCGGACCGAGCAAAATTATTGCACGCATATTTAGCGTTAGGTGTAACCATTGTAATCGTTATCGCATCCGTAATCGCAGTAAGTTGCATACTCTGCGCATATAGAGTGTGCAGTAACGAAAAACCGCGGGTTCGAAAATATACCACTGCAAGAACTGAATCCACCCTTAACTCCTCAAAAAAGAATGATCTGCAAATCTGCACAGACATTACTTGACGGAAAATATTTTAGGCTACCAATCAACTACGACACTCTTCACTCCCCACCCGTGGCCGTGCAAGTGGTCCCACTCCAAGAATCCGAAACAACAGATACTCCTCCAACTCTTCCCACTTTCTAAAATAAAAACGGTATAAAAACGCTAACATACCCCCCTGTCATATCAGACACTCCATAAAACCAACACGATGAAACGCACGGCAACTACCACACTCGGCCTGCCACGCAAGAAGGCCAATCGATCCTGGACGACGGAACAGATATTGAACAACCGGACGTCGGCAGCAACAATGGAACGACTATTTACAAGATGGAAGAACCGGGAGGCCCAGACGAGCATGCAGCATCCCGAGCTGCTACTATTGGACGACGATGGAGGTTGGAACCACCACGAGCTAACGCAATATATTTTCCAGGAGGCTCACCACGGACACCTGCACTTAAGATTCCTCTTCGAGGAAACCTATGGAGGAGAGGGGTTCGGACGAGCCCCTTTCAATCCATGCCGTGTGTGCGGGCAAGACACCGCACATTGGCTGGGATGTTTCTTCTGCCGAGCACGCGTCGCAGCCGTTTCAAAGGACCAGCAACTAGCCATGGAGGCCGAATGTATCCGCCCGGAGCATTTTATACTCAGTAACGCCCCTTGTGCCAGATGTATCGGCAAGGAGTTTTTATGTAGGTTCAAGAGGAGTTTGCAGGTTCATCATTTGGAGTTGCTGTAATCCTATCCTAAGTCCGTCCTAATCTTAGAATAATTAAATAATAATAATAATAATAACAAAAAAATAAGAAAACAGAAAAATATATAATAAGATATAAAAATATATATATATAACAAAACACAAAAAAAATACACAAATATGTATGTAGAATGATAAGACACAGAAAAAAGATAACAAAAAATGTATACTCATACAAAATAGTTGCAGTAGCGCTCGGAGAGCCCTAGTCCCTTACTTTATCAGCAAAGGACTCCGAGGAGTGGGCATGTCACGTCGGTACCAAAGAATAAGTACGTGACGAATAATGATAAGCAAATAACGGGTTGCGGTAATTAACCGGGTATCGGTAATTTAACTTCCCATTGTATCAACCCTCCCGGGAACATTTGTAAATCTATCTAGCGGGATAGATTAATCTAAGCACGTCTCCATAATATTTCCGCGAATATTACTCACCGCATATTAATTCGGCAAAAACACAGGAAGGGGCACATCAGCCTACGGTATAAAAAGGCTGGATCGAAATCCGCAACACACAGTTGTTGACAGTTCAGCAGTTTGACAGTTCAAAGCGATTCAGTTCGCGCAGCATACGTTTCGCAAAGTACTAATATAGTTATTTTTTAAGTCTAACTATCCGGCTACTCAGAACCGGGATTATACTCAGCTAAGCATTATAAAAATTGTCTTTAAACAATAAATCGTAAATCAAGCGCAAACACCTGAGACCGTTCATAAAAACCTCTTCTGAAATCCAATCCTAATAAGATAAGAAACTAAGTTATCTACTTAAAACGCGCTACATATAATAAAGGCGCTATCCCTTTAACCAACCTCTGCTTAACTCCTGACTAAGATCCAACTTTACCAACGCGACAATATTTGTATACATTATTACGTCCAGCAGTAACATCTCCTCGCCTAGACATAATAAAAGCTACATGTTCTGAAAGGTACAATATTCATGAAATGAAAAACTTTGAAATTTAATATCTCAAAGAAAAAATAAGCAAACTGAGCAAACTCAACGGCATTTAAAAGGACTAGACTGCTTCTTTAATATGTCGTTTGTAGTTTTTTACGTGTAGATAATGTCGTGGTGCTACATAACCTCAAATATAGGTAAAAATCGCTATTTTCACACTTTTAGATTAAGATATCTCAAAATCTTGACGTGCTGGAGCAATTCTGAGGCCGGATTTGGTTTCAGCGCCAAAAATTCTTTGGGAAAATATATATGGTTTGCTTGTGCAAAAAATTAAGGTATTTTTGTAGGACTGTGTAATTATAGAACAATTATAAGATTGATATACGAGATCAATAAAGTGTTCACATAGTTCATATTATGATTAAATCTTCAAATCTCTAAAAAGACATTATATTTTTTCATATTAAAAGATAAAAAAATAAAAAATTTATGGAAAGTAATTAATTATTCCTAACTTTATAATTGATAATTGACAACTGCAGCGATAATAACAATAAATTCAAATCAATTTGAACAGAATATTTTCGTTGTCGTCGCAATGGAAAAAGAAAAAAAAGAAAAAGAAAGTGAATAAAATTGGATCGTGATGGGATCCAACCCACGAACTGCAGACAAAAATGATACGCGCGAGCGTTAGCTCGCACGGCCATCGCCGCTATCACCAATCTATATATGAAAGTCGTATATGTTTATCGGAAGCCGTAAAGGCTTGAGATTATGTACTTAGGTTTAACTTTTAGGTATTTGTGTTTGACCCGATAGCTATTAAACAATTGACAATGAATATTCATGTCTAAGGAACATTCTGTTGATTATTTTTTTGGCGTTCTCATGTGGATGTAGCATATCAGTATGAGTTTTATTTCACTAAGTCTCTGTCATATTAGTTATGAATAAATAAAAAGGTTCTTGTATATTGAAAATTTATATTAAATAATCTAGAATTATCAACCAATAAATTATAGTAAGAGATCAAAAGTGATAAACAATGAAACAAACGTTATGCAAATATCATAACCGTTACCGACTGTGCTTTCGAATCAACGCGTTGCATTAGTGTGTACATGTCAACGTTCGCCCCTCTCTATACAGCTCACATACCCTGTTGAAAAAATTTGCCGAAAATTTTTGCCCAATAATTTTGGCCAAAAATTTCGGTCGACAATTTGTTTCAAAATTTTGGCCAAAAATTCCAGGCAAGAATTTTGGTCGAAAATTCTAGGCAAAAATTTTGGTCGAAAATTCCAGGCAAAAATTTAGACCAACAATATCAGACCAAATTATCGCAAGAAAGACTTTTGAGCAAACAAAGATGATTTGGTGTTTTCATCTCAATAAATGGGGACTAGAACAAGAAACCACGTGGATTATTTGAACATTTAATAATAATCACAGCAAAGTATAATAACATTTTTATGAGTATTTACTAGATAAGTATAATCACGAGCTTGAAAACGAAGTATTAAAAAACTTTTAGCCAATAATTTTGGTCGAAAATTTAGACTAATAATATCAAACAAAATTATCGCAAGAATGACTTTTGAGCAAACAAAACGTTTTATGAATCGTCGGAGGACAGACTAAATTGTTCTTAAGGTTCCTTTGTAGCTTTTGCTTTAATTTTTTGCTTTTTCTCAATTTTTGCACCTGGAAGATTTATTACATTATACTATACATATATTTACCAATATTCTTTTACATTAATCTATGAAAAAAACTTACGTTCTGCCTTTTCTTTCATAAACAGCGAGTTGATATGTTCGCTTATGTAAGATTTCCAATTATTTTTGTGCATTTCTGCTTCTCGCCTCCGTTTCACGACTTGGTCGCATCGGCAAAAAAATGTTTCTACAATTGAAATCGATCATTTGAAAAAAACAGTTTTACAATAAAAAAATGTATCATTGTTTATTTTGCAATTGAAAAAAAACGTGATTCATACATGATTTTTCTTTGTTAATTGCAAAATAAACCATGATACATTTTTTGTTGTTTTTTCAGCGGTTTTTTCAAAAAATAGAATTTTTCAATTTAAAAAAAAAAAATTTCTCGATGAGAATAAAAAAACCATTAGCGATACTTTGCGAGGAGTATATACTAGTCAAACACTACCAGAAAAAAAAATTCGAATTGAAAAACAAATTAAAACGGTGTTTTTTTAATTCGGGTTGAAAATCGCATTTTTTTAAAAAAGTACCGCATTCAAACCGCTGTAGCTGCTATATATATATATCAATATTCCAGTGCCTTTGTGATACGAAAATATTTACGTCTTATAGCAGCTTTTTCCTCCCGCTTAAATTCTGATCGGGTTATCCCTGGTAAACGATCGATCTTGCATCCTGCAAGATTAAACGTCTTCCCTATTAGATCTTCTTCCTTGAACATCGCGTGGACTAATACTCTGATCCACTTTTTCATGTCAAAAATTTTTTTCAGCGTATCCCACGTCTTGTATTTAATACTTATGTCACACATAAGGTGGTACATGTGTCTCTATATAATAAAAAAAAACAGATAAAAATAATCCCGCCCCCCTTTAATATACTTTTCAGAAAAAAATGGCACTCGGATAGGCTGCAGAAACTGTTCGGAAATAGTTTGCAATTAAAACTGCAAGCGAGTTCGTGAGAATTACTCACAAAACAACGTCGCAGAGTTTAATTCATGGTAAATAGTAAAGCGGACAATACATTTTTCTAAAGTTTCAAAATTAGTGCGTCGTCGACATAATTGAAACTTCCATGCACTAGCTTGCCGTATGAATTACAAACTATTTCCGAAGTGAATCCGCACCCTACTCACGTGCCAGTTCTACCTGGAAGGTATATGATAGGGGGGGGGGACAGAAATTTGTTTGTACGTAATATTATCGTTGTTACCTTCTTTCCAGTTTCTGCATAATACGACTTGTAATTTTGATGATTCTCTGATTGCCGTAGATTTTCCGGTTCATACTCGTCATCACTGCCCCGCGTGAAAGTTCTCTTCTCATTACATTCAGAATCTGATGAACTGTGGAAGTTTGCGTACTTTTTTGTTCGTACAAATCGCTTCTTGAACTTCTTCGGACCTGCCATTTTCGAATTATTGAATAATCAGTGAGAGAGAGAGAGAGAGAGAGAGAAAGAGAGAGAGAAAGAGAGAGAGAGGGCAGACTATAGACTCGAGTAAGGGTTTGACCGAGCGTAGCCATGCTCTCGTTTCAAATCACTTACGAGATTTTTTTTCACACTCTTCTTCGATATCGCTCATGTCATCGAATCCTTCACTTCCAGCCGTCCGTATTTTCTTAATGGCTTTTTCTCGGGGTTCCTTCACTCTCTTGTGGTTTATCTCATTTCTACTCCTCTCCTTTTTTTTATCGTACTGAAAATTCTCTTCATCTATAAAAAAATATTTGTTGGAAGAAGTCAGTTATACAATAGAGACCCCGAAGAAAGCGAAGCCTGCTTATTCGCGATGGATTGGCTGAGAATTATAGTACGGGAGCCCGTCGTATTTTCATATGAGTTATTTTGAAGAGAGAAAGAGAAATAGTACTACAGACTGATAGTAGGGTGGACGTGCTTATGTATATGTTTTAGTAATTGATACCTTTGGCTGAGCCAGATCCAAGACTTTCATTTGTTGACATTTTTCCACCACGACTTGATTCCAGTATTCCAAGACTGTATTCCTCTTCATTATCCTCAAAGTGTCCTGGAAAATCTTGAAACGAGTAATCACCGTGACTATCCATAGCAGATGTATCGGGCGAGTGATCACCATGAAGATTTAAAGCAGTTTTAGAATTCAGTGGTGGTCTCTTTTGGCATAATGTTTCTGTAAATAAAATAAAACAATGTATGTTTTATATATTTATTGTTCGTATTGTATTAAGGTTGAAAGTAAATATTCTTACCATGAGATTTATAAATAGTTTCTGGAGCAGTATTCTGACGCTCATTCTGCAAAGTTTCAATAAGTTTCTTGCTTTCTTCCATAAATTCTTGGTTCTTTTCATAATTGCTTCGCCAAAACTTAGAATCTTCTTCATATTTTGCTATCTTTGCTTCTAATTCTTGCTGGTTTTTTTTTAATTGTTCAAACTCTCCATTTTTTAGTTCGATGGACATGTGTAGATCATTGATCTCTTTTTGTTTCTTTTCTAGGTCAGTACCATCATCTGAATAGACTAATTTGTTCTTTTTTAAGTTTTCTATTTTTTTTTTAAGAATTTCACTTTCTGATGATTTTGAAAATGCTCGTGCATTTTCTTTTATTTTCTATAAAAATATTTTGAAAATCAACATTCATAAAATTTTTTAGATTAGAAATATTTCTAAATTGAATTGAATTAAAATTGAATGCTAAATAAAACAGTACCTTCTCTATTGCCTTCAACTCATGAATGTTTTTTGAATTTCCAGACTGAGAAGATGTTGTGATGATTGATGCTTCATCTATGAGCTCGTCGTCATTGCTAGGGATTGATTTTTTGGTTTTCGTTTCGATCATTGTTTTTTGTTTTTCCAAAATCTCATACATCACATCACTCTTTCTTCTCTTGTCAAAAACTCTCCTCTTTGTAGGGTGAATAAGTTCATTTACATTATCTGTGTGAAATGTGAAGGCAGAACTTATCATTCAGAATATAAAGTAACAAAACAAACATTGAACTTAAGATATATTCAATTCCTCTGAAGCACATCTAATGTTGATATGATGAATATTTATAAATGCATATTTCTTCACCTGATATAGCAAACACTTGTACTGGCTCAGTAATTCTTTCACCATTTTTGATTCGATGAATAAGATGTGGAACATTAAAGTTAAATGTTTCAATCGATGCATAATCAAGTATTAAGGCTGGATCAACTATAGCAACTGTATTTGTCTCATCTCCATAGTAACGTACGGATGCCAGGATTTTCTCACTTTCTCCTTCTGCCATGGCTGATGAACCTGTATCATTACACAAGGACAATTAGAAGAAGGTATCTTCAAAATTTAAGAATCATCATGAATTTCAAACACAATGTCAAATCGCTGATAATTTAAAAAAGTGTGTATTTCACAAAATGATATGAAATATGTAGGTACATTTTATTTATTTATTTAAGTTATACATACCTACATAAATCGCAGGAATAAATCAAACTTGTCTTCTTTCACAAAATCACCAAAAGAAGTTTGAAGAGTGAGAAATCAAAAGAGATGATCACTTTAAAACACCTTTTTGATGAAAAAAAAATGTTTGGTTGCCAAGCAACTTCTATCTTGGGTTAGATGGCTCTGCCTTATTTCAAAATTCAAGTAACTATCTACCATTTGTTCTGATAACTTGAGTCAACGAACTACGAATATATATATATATATATAGAAAAGAATGAAACGAGGCTAAAAAACCAATAATGAGAATTGAACTCTAATCTTGAAATATTAATTCTCTCGTTCTTAATTTATCGTTCGTACCCGCATAACCTTCTATTCCTATTCGATATTAATGTTATATTTTGATTTATTCAAACATTCTGACTCAGTGCGCGCTTGTTAAAAAAAAATCGACGCAGACAAGAATTTGAATGTCTTGTATAGCTGGATCAGTGTTCACGTTGCCGGATCGCGTCAGCTATGTCGAGTGGGTTAGGCTAGGTTGCGCAACTGCCGAAAAATCAAACGCAAAATCAACAACTCTCTGAGCGGATGGCCTTATAACATTAACGTGACAAATGATATTTTTCGCTACAAGGAGAGAAAAGTACCGATCATATCAATTTCCATTAGTATGAAATATTTATAAACTGTCACATCAGTAACAAACGGTGAGTGACCATTGAGCCAGCCGGCACGGAAAAATCAAGTGGGAAGTTGCATCATCTAACAGGTAAATAAAGTATCGAGCATTTAGATTTTCGATGATCATTGGCTGCCTATAGACGTTTGATTTAAAGAGATGTTTCGTTTTGAATTTTACAGATATCATAATTTCATCTGACGTATTATCCAGACGTACGTGTATCAGGATAATTATAAGTTCAAAATGAGAAGATCCAGAACCACAGAATCGCGACACAACAAAAGATTGCGTGCTCAAAATTATGAACCTAGTAGTAATAAAGATGAGGATAGGTTGTTTAGAGTGAGTATTGAATATTTTCATGAATTCATGTATTTCAAAAAGATTTTGCTCCAAATTTTCATAAAATTTCGATGCATACTACCCGGTTATAACTTGCAATAAGGGATTTTAAAAAGTTTTTTTTACACACTTAAACTAGAATGTTTTAATAATAGTAATGATTAGTTTTACTGTGGAAGATACTTTTGTGAAAAACATGAAGATGTGGATTTGGATTTTAATTTGAAGACTGGGAATAAACGAGGTTTATTCACGTCTATCCATTCCAATGAAAAGTTAACATGGGGCTTGATGAGAAATGAAAATAGAATTATAAATAGTTGTGGTGATGAATGCAATAGAAATGGTTGTAGTGGACTGTAATTTATTTAAGAAGATCATTGATTCGATTGTTTTTCTTGCAACATTGCAAGGAACAACTTAAAATGATTTTTTTTTTCGATTGAAAGCGTTCATTGATTTCTACCTGGATATTCCTATTTGCTTGCAAAAACGCTGTGTAAATAAAGGCTTGAATCATTTATTGATTCCTAGGTGGATATCCAGGCGAATATCAATGAACAATTTTCATCAAACAGTTATAATCATCATACAGAAACTTTTAAAAACTTATCAATTGATTTAATACGTATAGGAATATAATCGTACACCAGCTCGGTTTTCAAACACATCTACGTCTGGAGAATCTACAATTACTCATCATAGTGGTCAAGTTTCAACCTCAACCTACTCAACATCAACATCCAACAACGCTCCGTCATCTGATTCTCGTAATGGATCAATTACCGACAGTGAAAACATGGATGTTGTAAATCAAGAATTACCACAAGAGGTAAAACTACCTGTAATTTTTTTTACGTGAATATAAAAACATTAATTTTTGATACCTTGCTGTGTTTCTGTCTGTCAGAGAGTATATGAGTAAATCTATGGAAAAATTACATTTTTTGCGGACCCAAAATCGACGCAAAAATTTTTTCTTTGCTAGGCCTCCCGGAAGTTTTTCCTCTTTTATTTAGGGTATATAGAGATCAAAAATACTCACGAACATGAGAAAACTTTATATTCACTTTTTTCGGTACTTTTATATGATAATCAACTTATTTCGCAAATAAAGTCATTCTAATTTTTAATAACTTGATGATATATTTTGGCGGGATTGATATTTTTTCAACAAAATCTTTTCTAAAAAAAAAGTTCCAGCAATCTTGGAAGTAGAAAAGTAAGCATTTGAAATAAGAACAATTTTCGAGCAGTTTAAAAAAAATTCGAATAAAAAAATGGAAAATGCTGAAAAAATATTGTTCATGCGAACTTTTATAATTTTTACGAATATGTTTCATCTCTATTTCTGACAAATGAAAAGAAAAAAAAATTCAGGGTGCTCTAGCAAAGACACATTTTTGCCCTGGTTTGGGTACGCAAAAGTTTACGACTTGGCGGAATATACTTTCTATGTACTGTATCAAATTACTTTTACACCGAATGATAAAACATTTATTCTCTTCATTAGAGTGAAACTGGAACAGACGATTCAAATTTAGAAACTGAAGACGATGATTCCGAAGAAGAGGATAGAATGTATAGAGAATATAGAAATGAAGAACACAACGGCGATACAGAAACTGAAGAAGAAGAACCGTTTGCAAGACTGCGTAACATTTTATGTAGCGATGAGAACGTGACGTTAACAGTGACCGTAAATAAGGCTGAATTGATGTTAGGAGGTTTAAAATTTGGGTTTAAAAATGAGTTGTGTCAGACTGGTTTAGCCGATCTATTCAAATACGTCAATAGTATATTACAGACTAAACTTTTACCGGAAAGTAGATACCTTGTCGATAAAATTTTCAAATTCATCTAAAGGTGTTGAATACCATGCTGTTTGCCCGGATATAAATTGTTACAGTTATGTTGGTCAGTTTAATAGACAGGATCGGGAAATATTGTGTCACGTTTGTCGGAAGGTTATATATTTGAAAAGTCCTTGCTATAACAATTTTTTTGTAGTTTTCGATGTGGCAAATGATTGCAGCAACTTGATTTTTCAAAACTGGGAGCATGTTTATTCTGTTATACAAAAAAGATTTCAGCAATATGATACAATCAGCGACTTTTGTGATGGAAACTTTTACAAAGAATTTGTGAGATCCTTACCACCTAACGAAAGAAAGAACTTTGTTACAGCCACATTCAACAGTGACGGAGCTCCTGTTTTTGAAAGCTCTCAGTATTCAATTTGGCCTGTCCAAATGATTATCAATGAACTTCCTTATAATGTTAGAACTTCAAAAACAGTGACTTGTGGTTTGTGGTTCGGTAAAGTCAAGCCAGATATGAATGTGTTCCTTCAACCATGCGTAGAAATGATGAACAGATTATCTACCATCGGAATCCAAGTCAAAGTGAACGATACCATGCAAAACATGAAGATACATACATTATGCTGTTGTGTCGATTCCGGTGCCCGAGCTCCCATGCAGGGCATTGTTCAGTACAATGGTTACTTCGGTTGTTCGTGGTGCTTGCATCCAGGTGTGTATGTACCAACTCTTCGTGGCGGTTGTGTGAAATATGTCTTGTTAGACGAACTTCCTCCAAGGAGAACCGAATTAGACATGATACAACACATTCAACTTAGTATAGACTCTAACGTTCCGGTTTTCGGCGTAAAAAGGCCATCGTGTTTAATTAACCTTAAAAGCTTTAATGTTGTGAATGGTTTTGTTCCTGATGATCTGCACTTCGCAGATGAGGGTATTGGAAAACAAATAACCGGGTATTGGTTTGATACAATTAATTTTCCGTTTTCACTGTCAGCTGATGAAATCAAGATAGTTGATAGGTTGTTAATGCAAATAAAAGCTCCCAATCAAATCACACGCTTGTCAAGAGGAATAAAAGACCGAAGTTGGTGGAAAGGAATAGAATGGCATAACTGGATCTGCATCTACAGTATTCCAATCTTGTCTCAGTTTCCTCGCATGCAACCATATGTAGAGCATTGGACACTCTTTGTAGAAGCATATCATATCATCAACACAGAAAACATAACTGCAGCGGAATTACAACGAGCTCACGAGCTTTTTTTAGAATTCATGGGACGGATGGAAGTTTTATATTCGCCACAAAGTATGACATACAATGTCTACCAGATTCAACATGTTACTCAGAGTATTGTCGACTGGGGCCCATCTTTCGCTCACAGTGGTTACTGTTTTGAAAATGGAAATGGGAAATTGTTGAAAAAAATTCACGCTGCAAAAGGTGTCTTATTACAATTGTGTCGATCTATCAGTATGAGCCAAAGTGAAATCATCTTGCGTCAGCATTTACAAAATCAACCGTACAGTCCACTTCGTGCTTATATTGATTATTTGGATGATAAAAACGCAGTATTTTCAAGATCAAATCACGCTATATACTTTGGCGCATCCACCAAATCTAAAAATAAATGGGTCACACAACTACATTTATCAAGATACAGTATAACTTTTACCAAAATGGTAAAAGATGGTTGTCTATACACGACATCAAGGAGAAAAAGAATAGATCAAACAATTCTTATGCTATAACAAATAATGGGACTCATGTACAATTAAGAGACTTCATTTACGACGAAGATACTGAGTTAGAGTATGCATTATGTAAAATAATTGATGTATTCGATGTTGATAACTCGTTGCCAATCAAACGAATCGTAGGAATTTCTAATAATATTTCTGCAATAGAAACCGCAACAATTTCAAAAATTTGTGTATATATAACAAATGATAGTGAGCAATTCATATGCGCAGTGTCAAATTTGCACCACAATTAGATTTGACAATAAATATTGACACCTTACTCACGCTTAAACAGTTCTAGACGAGACCATACAGTATTCTGATCAAGAGAAAATTTCAAAGCTCACGAAAATATTTTTTGGTTCAAAGCGAGTTTTTATTTGTTTTTATGGCGTCAATTACATCCTGATCCACTGTAAAAGTTGTAAATTTTTTAGACAAAAATACTGTAAGGAATCGTCAAGAACTGCTTAAGCGTATGAGCAAGGTATCAATATCTATCGCTGATAATTTTTTAGAATTCACTACGTTTCTCCGCCATATTTACTTTATGTAATTTAATAAGCTATGTAGTGATCTGGAGGACCTTAATTAACCGTTTTTATTCCGTTACATCTTGTAATTATTTCATTTTTACGAAAAAATACTTGCCATCTAGTTATGATTCTTCGTTTTTGAGTTCGTGATAAAAATTGTTAAATTGTTTCAACTGAATCAATATGATTTCTTTTTTTATTTATTTAGATGGAAACACCAAAACATGTTTGTTTGCTCAAAAGTCATTCTTGCGATAATTTTGTTTGATATTATTAGTCTAAATTTTTGCCTGGAATTTTTAGCTAAAATTTTTGCCGGAAATTTTTGCCCGAAATTTTCGACCAAAACTATTGGCTAAAATTTTTTTAATACTTCGTTTTCAAGCTCGTGATTATACTTATCTAGTAAATACTCATAAAAATGTTATTATACTTTGCTGTGATTATTATTAAATGTTCAAATAATCCACGTGGTTTCTTGTTCTAGTCCTCATTTATTGAGATGAAAACACCAAATCATCTTTGTTTGCTCAAAAGTCTTTCTTGCGATAATTTGGTCTGATATTGTTAGTCTAAATTTTTGCCTGGAATTTTCGACCAAAATTTTTGCCTGGAATTTTCGACCAAAATTCTTGCCTGGAATTTTTGGCCAAAATTTTGAAACAAATTGTCGACCGAAATTTTTGGCCAAAATTATTGGGCAAAAATTTTCGGCAAATTTTTTCAACAGGGTATATTAATGCGCTTAGAATAGGTGGGTGCTGTGGGTGTTCATCGAAACTGGCGCCGCCTGTTGGCCGCCAGACTGCGGTTCATCGTTTCATCGATAAAGGCACGCGCTCGCTTGTGTTATTGGGATAGCAGTCGGCCCACCTTTCTAACATTCCATCGTGGCTCCCTAGTAAATATTTACAATGAACTGTCTAGTAAGAGCAACATGATGTATAACAATGAAAAATCTTCCGAATATTTCCATGAAGCTATGATTTGTTTAGAAAAGTTCAAGTGGCTTTATAACGTTCCTTTGACAAATATATTAATTGATCAATCATTAAATAAAATACCATTTACATGGTTAAGCATTTTGGGAAGATTGCACCATAAACAATTAAATTGTTTTGTAACAAAATTAGACATGCAAGTAGGCATAATGATATAATGTCTTTCTGCAAGACATATATCTATTATATAAGTATAATTAACAGTTGGAATTTATAATTATTTTGTAGTTACATTGGCCAACATCATTTACAGAGTTTCTTAATACATGTAAAAAATTGAATAAATTGCCACGTTTGAAAATGACGTTATTAACAAAATTGCCAATAAAATTCAGAAAGGATGTTAACTTAAAAAAACAGCATGAAATACTATATTTTTCTCGATTAATTCATTACAATTGTTTGTTACAAAATATTTCTGTAATTGTTGATCTTGGTACAGGTTTGGTAAGTTTGTAATGTTGTATATTATTGTGATTTTATTAGAATATTTATTATCTAATATAATCAATCCATAACTAATAAATAAACTGCAAAATATTAATTAATATTTAAATAAAAATCAAACTTATTAACTTGACATGCAGGGATATATTTGTCAATTATTGAATTATCTATATGGATACAAAATATTAGCACTAGATTCAAGTCATCTAAATATTGATAAAGCCAAATTGAGACAACAAAATTTTTTTCCTGATTCCATTTCAACTATAAAATACATATGTACCAATATAACTGCAGATTCAGATAAATTTATAGAATCAACTCTAGAAAAGGAATTTAAAGAAAAGAAGAAATGTTGCTTGATAGGACTCCATGCTTGTGGAGATCTTAGTATTCATGCATCAAACATGCACTTAAAAATGAAAATTGCTCGACTTTTAGTTCTTGTTTCATGTTGTTACCACAAGTTAAGTTATGAAGAAATAAATAGAAATAATATGTACATTAATAGGAAAGAATACTTTAAATATTTTCCGCTATCAAATGAATTCAAAAATACTATTCGCCTACTATGTATAGATACAGGGAACTTACTCAAAAGGACATTTCTGCGATTAGCAAGCCAAGAAACTTCAGATAGATGGTTTACAATTGATAAAACAAGTCATAATAATCATTCTCTGTACACTTTATCACGAGCAGTTCTTGAACTATATGCTTATAATAGTAAGTTAATCTTATATGTTCTCAATTTATTTGTTTTGTATTCCATAATACTTCTTAGTAATTCTAAAATTTCTTTTAAAGATAACCTCAAAATAAAAAAGGTAATTAGAAAAGGAACAAGGAAGTCTCATTGCTTAAATTTCAAAGACTATTTAAAACTTGCTATGGTTTGCTATGAATATGAAAAAACTAATGATGACAACCTATCAGTCATCAAGTTTTTATGGACTCATGAAGTAGAAAGAAACATTTTATCTTTATGGGATAGAAATTATGAAAAATTATACATGATAGAACCATATACTGCTTTGCAAATGGTTTTGCAGAATGTAGTTGAGTCACTAGTGCTTATTGATAGAATGCATTTTTTAAAAGAGCAAAATTGTAATCCAGTTTTGTTCCCTGTTACTGATAGATCATTATCTCCAAGATCTTTTGCATTAATATCAAATAAAATTACTTGAAAATAAATACATGTTTCTTTAATTAATTTATTAAACACATGAATAAAAATATTCAAAATTAATATAACTAACAAAATTAAAAATAAGAGCAGTTCATCTGCCATATGGATGAATTTGTGAAGCAGCCTTGATATTTGTTTTGATAGCACTTGGGGTTTTAACCACTGGTCCAACTAAAAATTAACAACTTTGCTTAACCGTGAAATTTAATTGAAATTGCTTTCAGAATATTTTACATGAATAAAATAATTCTTACCTATTGATCCTTGCCCAGATGCTTGAGTTTGTCCTGATCTTCCAACCATTATATTATTTGCTATTGGATTTACACCAGATTGAACCATTTGCATTGACTCTGACTACAAATGTAAATTACTTTTGAATTAAAGAAGTAAATTTAAAAATAGCTAATGGACTTAATTTTATAGGTTTTTTTTTTCATTAATAACAATTATAATTACCTTCAAACCCTTTCCACTTCCTACTGCACAAACAAGTATTTGAGTATCTGTGCCACTACTAGTTTGAGTTTGTGTAGTTCTAGAAATTGTATCACTTTCCCATTCTTCTCGTGCTTTATTAGCAATATCCCATATATGATTAATCACTTTATTGTATTGAGCTACTTGTTTCTAAAATCAATCATTGAATTGTCAATAATAAATAACAGTAATTTATTTTATTTGTTCCAATCGCTTAGTTTTCTACTAGATATTGAATTAGCAATTATAGACATTTTGGACTCAATAAATTAATAATTTATTCGTACATCGAATGACCATACCAAAAACATTCAAAAAATCATGTCTGAAACCGAAGCAAAAAGTATTAAAAATACTAAGTACTATTTGATTTAAAAATAGAGAATAAAGTTGACACTATGCGGAGCGAATGGAACATGTAATAAAAGAATTAGTCTCATTTAAACATTTAAGCTTACATTGTATTCCTAGTTGTAGTTAAGTTAGCATATTAGAAAAAATAAATATTACATTATTTTATTCAGTATTTAAATATTTCTAAATATGAAGATAAAATTACAAATTTATAAGCATGATTTGATTTACTGAGCTAATTATAACTAGAGTTCTCAAATTTAAGAAATATATAGAATCTTTAATGACATAAAAGTAAGTATATTCATAAGTTAATATATATTAAAAATATAATTGATCACCAGTTATAAGCTAGAATAATTAAATATAATAAAACAGAAACTTTGAAAATTTGTTTTTCACTTACATGTGTTATATCATATGTAAGATTTGCAACCTTTGCTTCATATGACAATATTTTTTGTTCAACGGAAGGATCAGGTTTTGTTCTCAAATAATCAGGAACTAAATCATGGGCAAAGGTAGAAATACGTCCTTCAGTTCTCCTATACAAATCTTCATCTTTTTCAGGACACAAATGCAATGGTAGCACAGTCAAATTTCTTAAACTTGGAGCTTTGTCATGGTTCAAAATTTTGAATAAACTTGTTAACTACAATCAAATAATATTATGAGTAGATAATATATCAAACTTATCAAACAGAAACAAATTATATTAGTATCTATGTATAAATATTATGAATTTCATTAAATTATAATGTTGGTTGTCTTATTACAAGTTCAATTTTTTATGTAAAATATAAATCATATCTATTGAAGTGTTTTTTCAAATAGTTTACTTGATAAGGATGAATAAAGATATATTAAAATACTCCAACTAAAATTATACTTACATGACCAGACACAAGAGCAAAATTATCTAAAAAATTTGGCCAATTTAAATTTTGATATTCATTTTCTATTTTTAAAATCATGGTTGCAATTGTTGTTTTTAAATCATTGATTCTTATAAGTATAGCTTCTAATGCTGAATCTAATTGTTTTTCTTCTCTTTGCATAATTATTATTCTAACTAAAACACAGTTAATACAAAAAATAAATGGAAACTGGTTAGAATAATCAAACAAATCAACAGCCGCAGATGGAACCTGGAATACATGGAGCAGGCTGGAGTTTCGATAGTTTACTTTGGAAAAAAGGCTCCCTGAAGCTGTATACGCAGCCAACTTCCGTACGCTCTACCGAGCAACTGTTTTCTATTCCTCTCATTCCATGTTTCCCGCTCTCAAGTGCAATTTGGCGCGAAGTCACAAGCTACTATTTTTCTCTGAAATTACATGAGCTGAGCTTACGAGTAAAATTCAGACATTTAGAAGGCATTTATTAATCATTTTCAGGTGGAATATTATTATTATTCATCTTAAATTCGAGGCTAAACTGATAGTTGTAAGAATAATCAAAATTTGTATATGCATGTCATTTTATGATTTTTATTTACATGCATGGAATTATTTTAAATTGAAGAAATGGTGTTTTAACAATGTTTTAAATAAATTTACGGTGATTTATGGAAATGAACGTATAATTTTATGTACAAAAACATCTTCCTGATATTAATTTTTTAATTACAAACATATACCCAGGTAACATCATAAGTACCGGGAACGTACCCGCAACTAGTTTTTAGGAACTTTGGTACGAAAGGCGGTGCGGATGGGAATCGTATCGTGTACGTACCAGGATGTAGTCCAGTAAAAATAGGCCTGAAATGTTTTTGTCACATAAGTGGATGCATTTTTGATATATGGTAAATTGAGGTCGAAAAAGACGATTCTGAAATTTGCAGAGTTCTAGGTCCAGGGGTTCTAAGAGAAAATCACGTTTGAAATTTTTTTTCGCCTGTATCTCGCGAACGGCTGAACGTACGACAAAATAACATGCACCAATCGAAAGAGCGTGAAATTTTACATCAGAAACAATGTTTAATCCGACATCGATGAGTGTAAAATGTTGAGATAAAAAATAAATAAGAAACTTTACGTGAATAAGGAGAAGGGGAAGACTGGGGAAGGCGCGGTATAGTTATGCTCTCCTCCGCCGCCCCTCCAAGCGTGCGCAGACAGTCGACGACACTCGGCAATCTTCGGCCTATAGCAGCCGAAGAGGGGAAACGTGCATGTACGCGCGCTTGAATTCATTTTCGATATTTGGTGGCCGGCGATGGAGCGGGTGGTCGGAAACAAGTCTTATTATGATCTTTTAGGATTCTCTCTTTGCAACTAATCTAAAAAATACTCTCATCACTAGTACTTAAACGAATTAATTTAACGTAAGCCCCACCTCTTCTTAATAAACATATGTAACATCCATAACATTTAAATAACATGTGACGATAGCCGAGGTAGCTAAAGCACACCATCACTTTTTATTTTCGTGGTAGCGGGTTCGAATCCCATTGAACATACTTTTTTTAAGCATTTTTTTTCTGTACATCCCTTTGATGGTATACTTATATTTTATGTTTTAATTTTTGAAAAAAAATTACTTAAAAAGTTGTATTTCTATATTTAGCTGACTTGTACCTGAAAATTACTACAAAATTACATTTGCAATGTTTACTTAATTATCGTATATAAAATTTTCAGTCCTTGCAATGAGATAAGCATTGTTATTTGAACATGGATAAATATTTAACATATAAATATGTATTTGAAGCTTTTTTTCTCAGTTTGATCAACTTTTAAAGAACAAAATGTGCATCGATATTAATCCTTTTTAATTTGAGAATAATTCATAAATAAATAATTTTGTACAAGGCTTTACATATTTTGGCTTTTTAACAATTAAAATGACGTTTCATTTCCAGCACGAAAAAAGTCAAAGGCCGGAGGCGGTGGTGGGGGGCCTCCCTCGCGCGCTTGGAAATACTGAAAGTCCGCGTTCAAATCGACGCGCTTAGCAAAAATCAGGCTTATCTCGCGAACTATTGCATCAAATTCGATCATTTTTTTTTTAATTTGGGGTAGCTTCAAAATTTGTTGAGATTGGTTTAGTTGTAATTACTATATTTAGTGCCAATCGTTTATTATTAACTTAATTGAATTCATACATATCAGTGTATGTATAAATTCCAATTAATTATTACTTGCTATCCGTAAATATGGATAAGGATAAATAATAATCAATATATTTTCAATTATTAATAACAATATTTTAATTTATATGCATACGTAGGCTATAGTTTACATGATTTCTTATTTTCTAATCGTGCCTAGTTCTTTTCGGCGCAGACTCATTTATTTCGTTTTCATTGCATTCTTCATTCAACATTACTTCTACAAGACTACTTAAATCTTAAACTTCGTTATCAATAAGATCATATTCATGTATTTCTTCTACGTTCGTACAATTATCCCCGTAGCAAAATCCATACAAGCGAGAACATTTGAGGCCATGTTTGCTGCACAAAGCTTTACAGCCTTTTTGGAATATATATATATATATATATATATATATATATATATATATATATATATATATTAATAAAACGGGCACTTTGATTGCATTTCGAAACTATAACCGGCATTTTGACTGCATTCTGGAATTTTGAATGCAGCAGTCAAAATTCCTGATTGCAATGCAATCAACATTGATTGCAATGCAATCAACATTGATAGTGCAATCGATATTGATTGCTGTGTTATAACTGTTAATATGAATGCAATCATAATTGATATGATTGTAGTCTTTGGAGTATTATAATTATAAAAGGACATTAAAAGAAATAATTTTCTTACTTGAAATTATTTCATTTTTCAATATTTATTCAAAATTTGAAATTTATAAACTTCGTTAAAATAGTAAAATTATGTAACATACAGAATTATGTCTATTTTATTTTTTACGAAATTAAGAAAAAATAATTCAAATGAATTGTTTAAAAACTTTGAAATATTCTTAAATAATTTCTTGTAATAACAGTTGTCAAATATATATATCTATTATATTGTTATTGCTAATTTTTGTAATTTTATCATAATTATACTTAGTTTTACATCAAAATATAAAAGTGTAATACGAAAACTCTGGCTTTACTTTAAAAAATTATTTTTTTAAATGTCTAGATAGCTATTAAAAATACTTGCCTTGTTTATTTTCTCATCAGATTTAGAAGATTACAATTTGAAAATATTTCTTAAAAAAATATTTTTCTGGAAAATATATTATGTAACAGGCTGCCGTTTAGTCTAAAACAACGGGAACATACCTTTAAATGCGACGGAACGATGCCTTGTTATCTATGTGCACGAAGCACAGTAACCTACCTTGCCTCGGAGTGCGCCTGAGCAGAGCCTCTTCGATGTCCCGAGTTGGGTTCCCCCAACTCGCCACTTGGCGGCGCTATCGCTCCTTGCTAGTAGCGCTCGTGCGGTCGCCACCGGAACCTAGGTTATCGACTCGCGTCTATCAATACTTGCACGATTCGTGCTTCGCAACCGGCGAATTCGAATCGGAATGTAAACAAATCTATGCGCGACCTCCGGACAAAGGGAAAACACAATAACGGAAACTCGTTTGAATAAAAACCAAGGGGTGATTTATTTGATAAAATCAATTACACGGGGATTTGGCCGAGAGACTGACGCGCGCACGCGTGAATGACAACACACGCTTTTCGAGAGAGAGAGAAAAAACCGCGATTGCCGCGAACTACCTGCTCGCACGAAAAACAATAAACTCTCCGCGCTCGTTGCGCGGATTCGCACGCAAAATCGTTATAACAATCGACAAAAGGGGAAGGTGCACCTACCGCAATACCGCAGGGGATACGGTGGCCAACCGTATCCAAATGACAAGTGGCTGAAACGCCGCTTTGTTGATCGCTGCACCTCCTCGATTACTGCTGTCGTTGTTGTCGCTATTGCTGTTGCTGCAGTTGTTGCTACCGCTACTGTTGAAGCTGCTGCTGCTACAGTTGCTGCTACCGCTGCTACCGACGCACCCACGCACTCAAACCAGGAACAATGTCGATGGCAAACAAAAACGAGAAAACTCGGGACGGATGGAGGTTAGGCGCACGGATTGACTGAGTAGCACAGTCATACTGCCGGTTGCTACCTCCCCTCCCGGTCATTGCCCCTTACGCGCTCTCTCTCTCGTGAACCGAGCACGGCTACTCTCGATTAGCCGCTCATTAACCTCGCGCGAGTCCTACGATTTTCGGCAATCGTTGCAATTATAATATTCATATCAACATATACAAAAAAATACAATATCGACTCATATATTTTTCAAGCTAACGCAAAGTTATTTACTGCATTTGTAGAATAATATGTTAATTCAATGTCAGAAAAAAATATTAATTCTATAACTCGTATAAAAAATAATACTATTGAATTGCAAATAAGCTTAAAAAATGGTATGATTTTTTCTTTGAGTAGGTTTTTTATTTTAGTTTATAAGCTTCATTAAATTAATTGAATTTTATATATTTATTTGGGCCCTGATATAAGCTTAATTGACAATTATATGTGATAAACCTGATTTCTTATTAAAAATTACAAACATGATTGTTAGAATTTAATTGTTAGTTTTATTTTGATTGAAATAATAAATGATGAAACTATAATGAATACATTAAAACGTACAATTTTCAACTATATTTTATTTGGACATTTATGGTGCCAGAACGTCTTTACAGAAAAAAAACTATCACACTTTTTACACTGTTTCTTAAAATTTATTGAATTATCTTGAAATGATCTTGATGAGACAATTATTCCAGTTAATTTAAAATACACACCATATCCTCTGTTTCTTATTGACGATAAAACATTTCTACGTTCAACATCATTTTTACTATTCAACATTTTTTTAACATCAGTTTCAGTAGAGTGATTATTCTTTAAATGCCTAGGAAATTGATGTACAAAAGAAGCACAATATAAACAAAAAGGTCTTTTCAGTTTTGGAACAGTTTCTAGAAAAAAAATAGTTCATAAATTAGTCTATTTGTCAGTCAAGATACAATAATAGTATGTATTGAGTAAGAATAGTTTACCTGGACGGTTAAGAAGCACTCTAGGTATATTCACATCTTGTATGTGAACCATACCAGTACAGCAAGGGTTATGCCACTGTTTGTAATTTATGTTATCAATAATTCCTTTGCGA